TGTGTTCAGGGCTGCATTGCAATATTGATTGTTCAGATCATTCGTATCTAAGTCTTCCGCTGTGTTATCTTGTACTTTGTATTGAGAGGTCGGTTCTTGTTCTGGTCTGCACGTTACAGTATGCAACAGTTTGGTATCGGAGCGGACCTCTCATTCAGAGGACCCGCTCAATCAAGTAGCCAGCTTGCTGATCTATTGATCACTCATTAGTAACGCAAGTAGGACTTAGTCAAATCTCTGAAATTTTTTTCTCGCAACAACTATCTGAAAATTTCTGATATTCGCATTTCGTTTTACCTGAAAATTTCTGATATTAGTAGTTCGTTTTTATGTAACAAATATCTGAAAATTTCAGATAAATCGCATTTCGTTTTGTCTGAAAATTCCCGATAGTAGCTTTTCGTTTCTCTGATATTTCGCATACATATCTGAAATTTCTGAAGAAGTTAGTATTTCGTTCTCTAGGCATATTGGGATAACGATAGAAGTGGTCATATTCTCAAAAACTGGAGTTATTCTTTTTTGAAAATCGCATTTCCATTCTATCTCGCAAATTTTTTTTTGAAAACCGAATCTTGCGAAGCCTACCAATATTGCGTTAGGCATATTCGGAGGTTGCTATATTCTCAGAAACTGGATTTCGTTCTTTTCTGAAAATCGCATCTTTACTCCATTTCGCAAAATTTTTTCAAGATCGCAGTTTGTAAAAGCCAAAACTTTGCGGAACCTAGCCTAGATCTCGTTCATAGTGCTCTTCTGACATGTCCTACTCATAATAGATCGACAGATATACAAAAAAAAAAAAAAAAGGAAGTAGTCCTCTTTTATTTTATTTTATTTTATCTGTTGATTAGGGCCGGAGGAAAGTATTGTTGGGTTGTTTGCCTACCTGCGTTTTCCCTCCCACCCACCCCTTTGCATGCATTTCTGGGTTGGTACAGGGCCACGTCAGACACAGTGACACGTCAGCTACAGTGACACGTCAGCAGTGCCACCTCAGACACTGCCACGTAAGCAGTGCCACATCAGACACAGTGCCACGTCAGACAGTGCCACGTAAGCAGTGCCATGTCAACAGTGCCACGTCAGCAGTGCCACGTCAGACAGTGCCACATCAGCAGTGCCACGTCAGACAAAGTGCCACGTAAGCAGTGCCATGTCAGCAGTGCCACGTCAGACACAGTGCCACGTCAGCAGTGCCATGTCAACAACATGACGGGCCTGCCAGGCCAACTGGCCAATGAGCCCATTGCCGACTACAAAAAGCGCTACCAGGCTCAGCTCGCTGCAATCGAGGCTGAGGAACAACGCCAGCTGGCAGTCAAGGCTGCCCAGCTACAGGCTGAAGAAGCGGCAACAGCAGAGAAGCTGCGGCTACAGACCGAAGCAGACGCAGATGCCCAGGCTCGCCGCAAGGAAGCCCAGGATCTGCTGCTGCGGCATGAAGCCAACAGCATCGAGAGACTCAAGTACTGGCACTTTGAACCGAACGGCGACGAGGCAACACCGGAAGAACAGCATAAGGAGTTCATGGCCACGCTCGTGACCAGGTTGGTTTATACTTGAAACCACCTACAGTCCAAGCTGGCGAACCTCCAGCGAGTCGTGCGGAACCATAAGTCTCAGCACGAGGATGCCACACGGGCACTGGACGTCCGTGTACTGGACCTGGAACAGGCTGTACCAGGTCCAGATGCTGGGGCTTCCAGCAGTGCTTCCTCTAGCAGCCAACTGGAGGAACGCGTTGACCACGTACTGGCAATGCTAGGAGACATACGTGCCTTCACAGAGCCGGCCACCATCAGCCAGCGGTTCGAGTTGCTGGACACCAAGATCAGTCAGCAACAGCAGACCGACCACAGCCACAACAACAGCTCGGCGAGGCCATACAAGATGCCGACGTTCCGGATCGAGAAATTTGATGACTACACACATCAAGACCCGGTCGTCTGGTGGCAAGGATTTACAACGGAGTTGGGGATTCACGAGGTCCCTGACCATCTGTTCATCAGTGCTCTGTTCATCAACACCAAGGGAGGATGTCAGATCTGCCTCAGCCACATGGCAACCATCCACGGCGTCCAGGTTTCAGACCTGTACAAGAAGGTCTCCTGGGAAGATATGACGAAGGAATGGAAGAAGTGGTTCATCGTCGACGACGCCTTGACACTCACCATCAACCGCATCTTCACGATGGCTCAAGGGAGCACACCGACACGTGACTGGCTCATGGATTGGCAGAAGATCGTGGCAACGCCCGATTTGGACTTGCCATTTCCGCATCTGCGGTGTGAGTTCTCCAACAGGTCATGCGTCGCTCTCAGCCTCGCACTTGGTGATCACGAGCAGTACAACACTTTCGCAGAGATCATCAACAAGGCGAGAGAGTTCATCAAGACCAACAGGGCGGCTGCGCACGAGAAGTCCACGTGGCAGCCAACCTATGTGGAGAAGGTACGAACTGGTCCGCAACAGCAGCAGTTCGCCGCAGTGCAGTCGGACAGTGGAGATAACCCAGCAGCCACTCCAGCATCAAGTGACGGAGATCAGGTGGCTGCTGTCCAGCCGCGAAGCAACAACAAGTCCCGCAACAATGGGAAGGCGAAATCCGCATCGCAGGGTGAAAATGGACAACCAGTACAAGTTCCATGGGTCAAGTTCGGCTTGACCGAGGCGGAGTACAAGGTCCGCGGCCACTACGGCAGCAGCTGTTGGTGCAACAGCACCAAGCACAAGACCTCCCTGTGCCAGGATAAGGGCAAGGAGGATGTGCGACCCCGCCTCAACTCGGGAAACTGAGTTCCGCGGAAGGTGAGGCGACTCCACCTTCTACTCCGCCAGATTCGGCCGCCTTGCTAGCGGCCTCCTGCATCTGGGGAGGATGCGAATGTCACAGGTTCTCGTTACACTTACGAGGACTATGCTGTCCACTTGGTTCCACCGCTGGACCAACCGCTCCACGTGCAACAATCTACCGCATGCACGGTTTCATCACCATTGGCAACCGATTCGGCAGCTTCGCCGCCATCTATCGCCGGGGATTCATCGTCGTGGTCAAGACTTGAGGTGCTCGACCCACTGACGTTCACGGACTTCCAGTGGATGCCCGTTCCCCCGACCAGATGATTGCCGAAACCGCATTGCAATGTGCTCATGGCACAACTGCGAGATTACTTGCACATTGCAGGACCAGCTCCGTTGATGGACGTCGGAGTAGAGGTTGTCGACCTTCACGCTTACATTGCGAAGATCGACCGCGAGTTCAAGACGCAACGGTACGACGACATCGACGCACCATTGCCATATGTACGCATTCAGATCGGAGAGGCGACCTGCAACGCCTTGATCGATTGCGGAGCATCTCGCAACTACATCAGCCAGGACTTCATGGTGCGCGCCGGCCTTGGCCCACGCGTCCGGAGGAAGTCCCAGCCTACGCAAGTCACGTTGGCGGACGGTCACACGCACAAGTCAATCGACCGGTGCATTGACAACGTCCCAATGTACTTTGCCCCTCACGCAAGTGAGGCGGTGTCCTTTGACATTCTCGACACCACATTTGACATGATCTTGGGCATGTCATGGCTGCGAAGCGAGGATCACCCGCTGAACTTCTTCCACCGCACCGTTCACATTCGTGATCGGAACGGAGTACTAGTTCCATGCACGGTGCCTCTTACTCATCCTTCGATCAACTGCCACGTGGTATCCGCCGCAAGCATGCGAGCTTCCATCATCAGAGACGACATCGAGGAGATGGGGGTATGTTTTCTCCACGCCCTCCCGCCCCATGACGCTTCATCGACGGACTCACCTTCGGATCCACGCATCACCGAGCTTCTCGACCCCTACAGCGACGTGTTCGAAGGCCCGCACGGAGTAGYACCGGATCRACCCATCCRCCACGARATCATCCTCGAGGACGGGGCCGTACCTCCGCGCGGYTGCATCTACCGAATGAGCGAGGAAGAGTTAAGTGTGCTTCGGGCACAACTCGACGACCTTCTAGAGAAAGGCTGGATTCGGCCTAGCTCATCGCCATACGGTGCCCCTATTCTCTTCGTCCGGAAGAAGAACAAGGAGTTGCGGTTGTGCATCGATTATCGCAAGCTCAACGCGCAGACGATCAGAAACGTCGGCCCTCTCCCACGCATCGACGACCTTCTCGAGCGACTGGGCGGCGCCAAGTTCTTCTCCAAGCTCGATCTCAAGTCGGGATATCACCAACTCGAGATTCGCAAGGAGGACCGTTACAAGACAGCGTTTAAGACGCGATATGGGCATTTCGAATGGCTGGTTATGCCATTTGGCCTTACGAATGCCCCGACCACTTTCCAAGCGGCTATGACAACGGAGTTCCGACACATGCTGGATCGATACGTACTTATCTATCTTGACAACATCCTGGTGTACAGCCGGAGTTTGGAGGAGCATGTGGAACACCTGCGCACCGTTTTGGAGCGGCTACAACAGGCCAAGTACAAAGCCAACCGCGACAAGTGTGAATTCGCGCGGCAGGAGCTGGAGTACTTGGGCCATTATGTGACGCCGCAAGGCATCCGTCCGCTCGCGAACAAGATCGAGGCCCTACGAGCATGGCTTGAGCCCACCAACACCACGGATGTTCGTTCATTCATGGGATTGGCGGGCTACTATCAGCGATTCATCACCGGATACTCCTGGATTGCTGCACCTATGACGAGGTTACARTCGCCAAAGGTGCCATTCGTATTCGATGACGACGCATGCCGGTCATTCCAAGCACTTAAGACGGCTATGCTCATGGCACCCGTCCTTAGCATCTATGACCCCACCTTGCCGACGAGAGTGACTACGGACGCTTCCGACTATGGCATTGGGGCAGTCGTGGAACAACACGACGACGACGACTGRCACCCTGTGGAGTATTTCAGCCACAAAGTGCCTCCCATCAACTCGCTTGATGATGCAAGGAAGAAGGAGCTACTCGCGTTCGTCATGGCTCTCAAGCGATGGCGGCACTTCCTCCTTGGGCGTCGTAGGTTCACATGGGTTACGGACAACAATCCATTGACCTACTACAAGACGCAGGATACGGTGAGCAGCACGATCGGACGATGGATGTACTTCATCGACCAGTTTGACTTCACACAGAAACATCTTCTCGGCCTCTCAAATCGCCAAACAGATGCACTCTCGCGAAGACCGGATCTTTGCGCTATGACACATCATGCCTTCGCATTCGACGAGGAGCTTCAGCGACACTTCATCCGGGCATACGAGTCTGATCCGGACTTCGCCACGCTGTATGCACAGCTATCTTCTGATCACCCGCCGGCCAGCCATTACCGCATTGCCGACGGGTACTTGCTCCTCCACTCAAGCAAGGACTTACTATGTGTCCCACGCGACCGCCGTCTTCGGACTCGCCTCCTCGGCGATTATCATGATTCGCGACTCGCCGGCCATTTCGGAGTCAGCCGCACTATTGCACGGCTTCGACAGCGATTCCGATGACCCGATCTCATTGCCGACGTCACGCGGTATTGCGACTCTTGCGAAGCTTGCCGACGTAGCAAGCCCCGCAACCGCAATCCCTATGGCGAATTACGCCCGATGCCTATCCCACGGGAAGCTGGTCTCTCCATTGCCATGGACGTCACCGGTCCGTTTCCCCGCGACCGGCTCGGGCACGACGACATCCTCACGGTTGTGGACCGATTGAGTAAGTACGCGCGTTTCCTGTACTACTCCATGGCTCCCGAGCTGGCATGCCTCTTGCACACTGGTTGGATTTGTGGCCACGGTGTACCAGAAGACATAGTCAGCGACTGCGACACTCGTTTCATGTCAGCATTTTGGATTGCGCTCATGCAGGAGTCCGGCACAACGATGAAACCAAGTTCGGCTCGGCATCCACACATAGACGGGCAGACGGAGCGGGCACATCAAACTGCTCAAACGATGCTTCGTACGCTCATCCGTCCGGACCAGAAAGATTGGGTTGACCGCCTCCCCGACATCGAGTTCGCCTACAACACTTCGGTGCATCCGGCGATCGGCGTGACTCCATTCGAGTTGCACCACGGTGGACGGAAAGGCCGGATCTTCGCCGACCTTCTCCTCCCTCGACCAGCCGACATTGGCGCTGCCTGCTCTCCCGTTTCCGTCCGGAAGAACAGGGAATTGCTGACTCAAGCCCGTGCAAACATGCAAAAGGCTCAAGTCCGCATGCAGCAGCAAGCCAACAAGCGTCGCGTACCATGTCCCATCCGCGCCGGTGATCTGGTTTGGGTCTCCGCGGAAGAGTTTGCACTGGAACAGGACGTTTCACGCAAACTGCTTCCCAAATGGTTTGGACCTTGGTCTGTGACAGCAGCCGCGGGCGATGAGCCCGATAGCCCTTCATTTGTGATCAACATTCTAGAGCATCTGACGGTCCATCCAGTCTTCCACGCCTCGAAGATGGCAACATACACGCCAGCCAAGAGCGACGACTTTCCGGTCTGACGATCGCAGGACCCTCCTTCTATGGATGGTCATCAGGAAGTTGACCGCGTCATCACCGATCACAAGTACGGCAGCAAGCCGCGACAGTACAAAGTCACATTCAAAGCATGCGATCGCGACGACACTCGGTGGATTTCAGGCGCAGATTTGAAAGCATCCGCACCGCTGATTTACGCGCATTATGAAAAGCGGAGGTTATCTCAGGAAGCTGCACGACCAGCCCCTCCCACCCCGACTGTGGTCCCTCCCTCAGACAGACAGCTTCGCCCTCGCAGGTAAGCTTGGATCTTCAAGGAGGGGGGGGTGTGGCATACTGCGTAGCCACACGGGCCCTGCTGGGCCCGTCCCGGACATTCAGCCTAAAAGCCTAAAACTTAGGGATTAAAGGCCCCGACCGTTTCAGCCTGAAAGCTGGAAAACGAGGGCCTGCAGGCCCTACTCCGTTTCAGCCTATTTCTGGGTCCTTAAGACCTAGAGTTTTTCCAGCCTGAAACGGAGGGCCATTTTCAGGCCCTCATTGTTTCAACCGCCCCTAAGACTCAGGCACGTAAACAGGGATGCGGAACAGGCCAAAAATAGCCTGTTCCTCACGAGCTTGAGCAGGAGCTGCAGCGGCAGCCCGTGCCTCCGATCGGCATTGGCAAGAGCAGCCTCCTGGACTGCTCGCCTGCAGTCAGGAGGCACCCGGGTAGTTCATAGGGCTTCCCAGACACTTCACGGGAGGGTAGTGGTCAGTAGGCATGAGTAGTCTTCAGGATTCGGACGCAGCACTCAGGAGGAGCGCTGCAGTAGTCTTCAGCGCTAGGCAGTAGTATTAGCGCTAGCTGTAGTCTTCGGCGTTGGGCGCCCATAGCTAGA